ATAAGATATAAAATATTACTCCAGATTTTCAGGGTTATTGATCAGCGAATTAAGGTCCAATTCGCATTCCGGTGACAATACTAAATAAAAGTTGTTTTATGTGTCAAAATTAATCTGTGTACATGTGTTTTAAGCACAAATAATAGATACAGGTTGGATACAATGTGATTTTGTTGTTTTTACATGTTTTTATATGTTTTTTTAACTTCTTTAAAAACAAAAACCAACAAGTAAACAAACAAAGCAGAGTTGTTCTATGGATCAAATTAACTTGGAAAATGTGATTTGAACTTGGGCATTAAACACCAGTTTGAATGTGACACAATGTGTTTTTTCATAAAAAATCTATATATATTTAAGGGATAACAACAGCCCAATTGAATGATAATTGTTAAAAGTCAATCTGCAAGTTGGCCCAGGCTGTTCGGAATTCTAGAAATTTTGTTCATGATATAAAAATATATATATATAAATCTGTATTTTTATTTGATTCATTCCCTCATTGATGTCATGTGACTATTAACCAATTTGATCAGTTAAATTAACCAGTTAATTTTTGAGAAGAAAATATTAATTTGTAAATATATATGTTAACGTTTAGAGATATCATTTATTGGTGCAGCTTTTATTTCAGACAAATTTATGGATGCATCTCTTTCTTGATCAATTTCACCAATTAAACATCTAATTAAACAATTAAACAATTAAATATTTGTAATATTTATTCCTAGGAATTTATGAAAAAGTAAAAGATACTCACATGTTATCACCTCGTATTATATATAATCCAAGAGATACTCTTTCTACTCCTTCTGTTTCTGAAAAGATTCTTTCATGACAACTTGCCAAAATCAAATTTATCACTTGATCAAATCCTTTTAATGTTCCCTTTTTTATAATAAAAATAGATTAAATTATAGAAAATTCAAAGAATACATACAAATTATGATAATAATAATAACAAACAAACAAACAAACAAACTACCACTATAACTCTTCCATCAGATGTAACGACTTCAACTGTTGCTTATAAAAATGAAAAGAATTTGAATTAATTATTAGATAATTATTAAAATTAAGTATTTTTCAAGTGTGTATGATATATATCTCTTACCATCAACATATTTTTGTAATTCTGCCATTTTTTATTTAGTAATGTAATACTAATCTTTGTTGAAACTTTTTATCTAATGAAAGAGCAAAAAAACAAATTTTATTCAATCGTTTCACAAACTCTGCGCCATGGTATCAACTAAATCCGCAGCATATTCCAAAAAAAATAAAATTTTTATTGGAGGGTGAATACATAATTTTGGAAAAAATATATTGATGTTAACAACATGGAACTAATTGAACTAATTGTCGAAAACAATTTAACCAATTTAACCAATGGTAATAACGATAATAATAATCATAATAATAATATCGAAGAGCCAATAGAACCAATCATAACAATTGATAACAAAAGTGAAACAGACAATACTGTTGTCAGTGACGATAAACAAGACCAGAAATCTGAAGAAGTTGTTGAAGTAAGCAATGGGCGATCTAGACCAAGAGAATCAAAAGGAAAACAAAAGGAAGATCAAAGCGATGATGAAAAAGATCCTGTAAAAGCCTTTTTAGAAAAATGGGTATGTACATCTCTTACCTCTCTTATTTACATACATAGGCAGACGTACATATATAAATTAAATATTTTTGCTTTGAATGTTATAGAAATTTGAAGATCCTGGAATATGTTGTGTGTGTCTTGAAGGCGCAACTGCCGAAGAAAATATGTTAGTGTATTGTGATGGCCAGGAATGTGAGGTTGTTTGTCATCAAGGTATTATTAATATCTGTATTATTATTGTTATTATTATTATTAGTGTATTGGTGGTAATTAGTATTTGTATTTATTTTCATCGTCATAATTTTCTCATATAATTTTTCTATTAAATTTTTTTTAGAATGTTATGGAATAACAAAATTACCTGCTACAGAAGATCCTTGGTACTGTGACAAATGTCTTGCAAAACCATCTGAAGTGGTGGTATGTTAAATAAATAAACAAACCATTGTTATCATAATCATAATAAAGAATCTATTGACTGATAATTTTTTTTTTATAAATTTTATAGTCATGTATTTTATGTCCAAAAAAAACTGGAGCATTTCGTAGATTGCAGGAAGAAGAAGGCTTCAAAACAGATGCGTGGGTCCATTTAGTTTGTGCCTTATGGATGCCAGGAATGTGGATAGCCAATACTCAAGGATTAAATGAGTGCTCTATCATTAGTGTTGAAAAGACAAATTGGATAAAGGTAAACAAATTAATCTTATTATCATCATGTTATAATAATAATCATCAAATCATAAGTTTTTACATTATTGTTATTGTTTTTATTAATCATTTGTATTTATTTAGGATTGTTGTATATGTCCTAAAGAACTTGCTAGTCAAGGTGCGACTGTTCATTGTGATGCAGGCGGCTGTAAAAATTGGATACATGTAACTTGTGCTCAATCTTATAATCTTTTGGAATATGAGGATGATTCTGAAATGTCAGATCCTTATTTTGTTGTAAGTTGCTTATTAATTAATTTATAATTTGGAACTTCATTTTTTTATAGGTATGATTGATTGATTAATATCATTAAATAATAATTATATCATATGTAAATACAACAGTATTGTAAAGAACATTGTTCACAAGCTGGCACTGTTCGTTTAAATGAATGGGAAAGGTGGATTTTAAAACGTGATAAATTTTTAGACAATGTTAGGTCTGAAGAGTTACAAAAAAGAAACAATAAACTCACAAGTGAGTTAATAGATCAAGGAAAAATACTCAGGGAAATTTTTGAAGATAATTATTCTGAATACCAGAAACGTCGAGAAAAACAAATAGTCAAACTTAGAAAAAACGTTGCTCAGCTATATTCAGAGTATAAAGGAGATAAGGACAAGATAAGTAGAGGGGAGGAGCAAATTGAATCCTTGGAACAAAAAAAAAGGACTGTAAAATCAGAAACAATCGAATTAGCAAATTATTTAAACAGATTAAGATTTAGAGTAAAAGCTTTTGTTGAAAAGATGATTAAAAAAGATGCAGATGATAGCAATATCATTAATAATAATGTTGAGATAAAACAATATACTGAATGCTCAACTTACAAAGAAGCAGAAAGACAAATAAGAGATGGATTAATAGAAAAGTCAATGATTGAAATTCAACGATTATTGGCTAAATTGCCAAATTCAATATCAGATTGGAATAATAATAATGTGGAAGAAGCAAAAACAATTAATATTAAAAAGTTAGATATTGAAGAAATTGAAACATTAGGATTAGATAATGCTCAAAAAATTCTTGTTCAAAGACAAAAGGAACGTAAACAAAAAGGTAAAAAGGGTAAAAAAACTACAACAACCGCTACTAATAATGGCAAAAGTAAAACACCCAAGAAAAATCTTAAGGTTTCAAGAACTACTTCAACATCTTCAAATAATGGATCTGAAGCATTTGATACACCATCAAGAGTAATGTCAATAACTAATGTTTTAATTAACGATGATGATGATAATAATAATAACTGTGACAATGTCATTAATTTTGATAATAATAATGATATTGACACTATGATGGGTATTGATGAGAATAATACCAATAGTAAAAAAAGTAGAAATAACAGTTATATTAATGGTGTTGATAAGTGTGTACTGAATTAGAATTAAACTCTTAGTACAGTACACAGTTTATATACAGGGTTGGGAGTCATGTACACATGCATAGTGATGGGCATAAAAATTATTTTGAAAAATGACCAAGTTATTAAGTACTTAATAACTCTATTATTAAGTGTTAAAAACACAAACATG